CACATTTTCAAGTAAATATATAAAAAGTTTTATCCAATAGAAAATTTTTAATACATGTGATACGGTCACACTTCCGCCTTAACCCGAATCACCTCACATGATTCTACTCCGCTTTAGCCTACCCCCCAAAATAGTAGTAGTTAATTCACACGATGCGCGTTACAATTTGTAACGCCGATCACTTTTGCCAAGAAAATTATTAATCATATACACCCGAGATAGTACCGATTTTACTAGTTATACATTATACATTCCTCTAATCGAAATCTTTATTAATAAAAAATACATGATAAAAAAAATAAAAAAAAAGAATTAATCGGGGCAATGCACAGGACATCCTCTGCATGAGTTATTGCTATTATTGTTATCATCATCGCCATCGCCATCGCCATTCTCATAATTATTTTCGAAAAAATCAAAATTATCATGTAATGATGATGATCGTGGTGATGGTCGTGGTGATGGTCGTGATGGTCGTGGTGGTGATGATCGTGATGATGATCGTGGTGGTGGTCGTGGTGATGATCGTGGTGATGGTCGTGATGATGATCGTGGTGGTGGTCGTGGTGATGATCGTGGTGATGGTCGTGGTTGTGATGATGGTTTATTTTTTTTTCGATATTTTTTTGTTACACGACCACAATTTTTTTTATAGCTAGGGGAATTGGTGGGTCTTGGGCGAAGATTATATGTTGGTGGCGGTGGTGTTGTTGTTGCTATTGCTGGTGATGATGATGATGATATTGTATTATTATTATCATTGTTATTGTTGTTACTATTACCTTCGCCGATATTGACGATATTACCGCTATTGCCATTATTGTTATCGTTATTGTTATTGTTGTTATTATCATTGTTATTGTTGTTACTATTATTATCTTCGCCGACATTGACAATATTACCGCTATTACCATCACCATTATCGTTGTTGTTATCATTATCGTCGTCATTACTATTACTACTATTATCATTATTAACCCGTTTTCTTTTTTTTCGTTGCGTAGAACCACCAACAATGCTATTATTGTTATTATTGTTATCAATGCTATTATTATTGTCATTTTCGTGATCATTGTTATCATAATAGTCATGTATAAATGATGGAGATGGCGATGATGGTGATGCTACCGGTGGTGATGATGATGGTGATGATGCTACTGGTGGCGATGATGATGTTATCGGAGGCGATGATGATGATGGTGATGGTGACGATGGTTTTGCTGTCCTATTTCTTTTAATAGTTCTATTCCACAAACCATTTACTTTTTCTACATTTCTACATCGGCCTATAAAAAGCAAAACTAGATGAGAAATATTTCCCAGTATACACAATAATGCAAAAATAAGATTAGATGGCGGGTGCAGGAATATATCAATAGATAAATTTTTATTAAGTGGACATCCGTGTAAGAACTGGCGAGAAATTTACGAAAGTATCTTTTCTTCTTTTCTGGAAATGCTTGATAATATTCTACTTCATTGGCGAATGTCCACTCATGTAAAGAAAGATACATAGTTGAATCCTCCTTCAGAATCAACAGATCTTTACTAAAAATTTATATCAATAAATTCCATGATGTTTGCCAGACGTATCCAACAAACGCATCCATTTCAGTACTTGCATAGTTCCTACTAGGCATCCCAACTAGACGTATCCAATAGGTACAAGCACCTGGCTATAAGGCCCCATCAAATCTTATTAATTATATTTATTATGCATACCTTTTTATTATTTATGAGTTTTTGAGCGATATCTCGAATTTCTTTCGACATACACAAATTATTAATAATACTTTGCAAATTACGAAAAAGAATAAATGTGTATCATCTTTCTCAGCGAACTTATAATTAGCAATTATAAGTGAGACGTATTGATGGAGAGACCAGTTTTCATATGAGCAAAGCTCAAAGTATTTTGCGTACGGGATACAGTTACGTGCGGATGAATATCCTCGAACGTCAATAGTAGAGGTGGTAGCAGACATGATAAAGCTTATATTTTAAAAACGTCAAAAATAAATGTATTAGAAAAGCAACTAGGAAGAGACGCGTAACATTACGTGTATATTTAAGTTTTCACACAGATATGCAGGATGCAAGGGGTGCTAATTAAATTTGGTAATCGGTGTATCGCATGACCTGACACACAGAGTGAGGATGCTACTGCATCTGATGCATGCAGATTCTATTATATTCGAATTCCTTCTATAACACACATATCATATGATAGGTTAATTATTTTAGCGAAAATATCGAGTTACACAAGTTATCTAATCAACTATAATCACTGGTGCAAGTGGTAAATCCTCGAATCTTTTTTCAATATGAGCTAAAACCTTTCTCGATAATATCTTAGATAGAAGTACATCTATCAATACTTTCTTAGCAACACCCTCGGTACATATATATATCCACATTATATGGATCAACTCCCCTCCTTTATAATTATGTCTATAATGTTGCAAAAATCAATACTCATTCATTACAATATCTATCATCTCCTCTTGACCTGTTATCAATTCTCGAAAAAGCTGTTTATTCTCATCTGTGATTGGGAGGTGAATTTCCTCAGACTCAAAGCCTATATATTGAAATAGTTTTTCACGTAATTCAGACATTATATAATAAATACATAATAATTATTACTAAAAATAATTCGTTATTAATTCTGTGCCCTTATATATCGAAACAACTTCTTTATCTTTTAAGCGTAGACCTAAATCAACAAAAATTGAATTACATATTCATAATGTATAAAGTTATTAAATCTAATAGGTTAAATCCCCTAAATACGATATAAATTACATATAACTTCCATAAACACTACAAATAAGTCATATAAAATAGTTAGCTTAAGTGAATTACGTGAAACTAATTATACTGATGCTGAATAGTATAAATATTGTAAAATGCCACAAGTTCGTGATAATGAAACACCCAGTGAGTGAATGGATCGAATCTGGCCTCGCTTACAGTATTTTAAAAAGAATGATCTTTTATCTACTGAAAGCAAAAAATATCTTGAAGCTAGGAAATTGATATTAGTCCTTACTCTAGGTATATATGCTCCTGAAATCAGATTAGCAATTTGCTTCTCTTGTGACCAGTTAATATATACTGGAGAACGGACTGCAAATATAGGTAATTATAATCAT